TCAGAAAATCAAGTGATACTGTACTTTGTGGACACAGGATCCTGCAGCTAGTTCAGTTTTTGTAGATAACTTTTTTCTCCTAAGTAAGGGACACTGAGAATAGTGGGACTCAGATTTATTCAGAGAAGTACACAGTATTTTTATTATCAGGCAGAAATAATTATAAATTAGAAAATATACAATGAAACATTTATGTTATTAGAAGCTAATGAGTATTTATTTATGATGGTGGTTAAAACCACACCTGCTATTCCTGAGAATCCTGTAGATTACATAGGTAAAAAAAATATGGTAAATGTTAAGGTCCTCTGAGGCACAAAGATAACGTGTTCAACACTATATCACAATAAAAGCGTCAATTGTTATCTGTTTCCTGGTTTTATCTTTGTGGAGGCACTGATAGATGACTATATGACTTTATTGCAAAGGAATTCACAGCATTTCTGTCCAGAAGCAAGTAAGATAGCCCTGTGGGTGAATAGAGGTTATAGAGATAATTGAGCTAAGCTTTATTTTTTGCAGTCATATTGGCTGTGTTATGATGAGAAGCTTAAATGAAAATTGAGAAGAAAAGGATCATGCTTTGTTTGAAAATAAATCTAATGCACTTCATATGCCAGAGACTGATGGGTGGGTTTTGGGTTCTCATAATTAGAAAAAACCAAACCATTGAAAAAAAGCTGAGAAGGAGAAATAATTTTTGAGGGAAAATTGTACCTATTGTAAACATAGTAGTAGCCAAACTATTCATTTTTCTCATACAGAGCAGGTACATACTTTCCAAAAACTAGTGGAATCATCATTTTGATGACTGACTAAATTATTTTCTTTGTGCTTTATAGGAACATAAATAAATGTATGTAACCTAATGTTTGGATTGCTGTATATTTCCATTAATTATTGTTATGTACTTAGTGGGAAAATAGGAACCTCTTTCCATAATCTTCTTTCATTTGAAAGAAAATACCAGAGTATTTTTGTAAAAATTAAAGTTGCATAGGTATCTGGCAATTATTGCTGTTTCTGTCTCTTCATAATTTTTCTAAATCAAGACACCAATGGACTGTTTGCTTTTATCATTCATCTATTGTGCCAC